CGGATGCTTTATCAAGGAGACATGCCCTCATCTCAACAATGGAGAGGGTTACAAGAAGAATGCTGACAAGAGACGCCGAGAAGTTACCTTTGAGCCTGTCGATTGGGTTTGGCTGCACATGAGAAGCGAGAGGTTTCCAGTTCAAAGGAAGTCTAAGCTGTTACCGAGAGGAGATGGCCCGTTCAAAGTCCTCAAGAAGATCAATGACAATGCATATCAGATTGAACTTCCAGGTGAGTTTAACATCTCTAATACTTTTAATGTATCTGACTTGCTACCGTTTGATGTAGGTGAATCAGTTCTGAGGACAGAACCTTTCCAAGGGGGAGAGGATGATACAAACTTAGGAGCTGAAGCTGACGTTCCTACCATGAGACAAGCTCCAAGAACAAGATCCGGAACAGAAGACTTAGCTGAGAGCTTCAACCAAGCAGTAGAGACGCTGATCACTTCTCAACACTTAGAAGATGTCACTACTCAACTTAGCCAACTGAGCATCGCCAAAGAAGCAGCTATGGTGAGGACACGTCTAAGCGAGGAAGGTATTCCCAACAAGCAAGAAGAGTCCCTAAACAAGGAAGGTATTTCCCAACGAGCAAGAAGACTCCCGAAACAAGGAAGGCCTTCCCAACGAGCAAGAACACGGATGGCCAATGATTCATGCACACAAGGGGGTTTCCTTATTCACCATCACACTACTTGAGTAAAACGCAGCACTTAGGCATGAGATAAACAAGGTACGATCCGAATCTTTAATTTCCATATGGTTTAGTTCTACTAATCAAACCTTTTCTGTTTTGTTTCTTGGTTTAAGTTTTATTTCATTTAAACTTTTGTTTAAGGCATGTTGGCTACATTTTATTTACATTTTTGTTTTAAAGCATTGTTAGCAAAGTAGTTTAAACTAAGGGTTTTGTAATCTGTTTCAAGTTCCCTAGAAGGGCAAAGCTGTTCAGATTGTTTATAAAGTCCCCTCACAGCCGTGTATCTTTTTATCATATCAATAAAGAAACGAACTTCTTGGCTAAGTACCATTCTCTTGTTCTCTAAAGCTTCGTGTGATTCATTGCTTGAAGAGTTTTTTTGTCTTATCAAAGTTTATCTCCATAAAGCCTTGTGGCGACTATCGATCTATCATTCTATTCATCTCACAACTTAGATCTTGCAAATAGAGTTGTACGGCTCTTTGCATGGTCCCCATCTCGATCTACTTCCTTCCATAGCCAATCCATCGATTGTAAGCCGAGAGAATTGAACAACCAGCAGCCCAATCCCATCATCATACACAGTTACTTGCTTGTAGGCGTGTATCACTACGTCTCTGGGGAGGGAAACTCTGTCCCTCAACTCCACTAATCGAAAGCTTTAACACCACAACTATGGCAAGCTACAATTACAAGTAAGCTCCAAGCTTATGACACAAAAGGAGAGAATCGAAAACCTAGAAGAAACAGACACACAGAGGTCAACTCTCTGCGTCGCTTTTGTTCTTTACTTAGAACCCTAGCTTCTTCTTCTGTCTTAAGAAACAGGTCTCGTCTTTCTTCTTAATACGCAGGTGATGACGGTAAATTGAACATTTGGGCTTGAGGTTTCATCTTGGCCCAACTCATAGCAAATAGGATATTGGGCTTTGTGGCCCATGAAAACATTAAGTCCACAATCTCCACCTTGTCTTCACCAACACCTCGTCATTCACGATGGCAATGATAATTTGACTCTTCTGCACCTAATTTACTGTGACAGGATTAATCATCCTATTATCTATTTTTGTTTAATATAAATATCGGTTTAGTCCATATCAAATAATTAAACCATTTTGTTGGTTATTAGTCGGTTATTGTACGATAACAGTATTTGTACGCATCTCGACTATTTGGGGAAATTAATCAGAATACTATTCATCATCTTCTCCAATCTCATACCTCTCTATCATCATCGTTCATCAATCATACATCATCGAATCTCAGATTTTTGGAAGTGGCTTTCTCTCTATTCGATCACTTTTTAGACTGATTTTTCCCTTGTTTCAGATTCTCGGTGAATCTCTGGCTCGGAATTATCCTATCTTATTATTATACTGTCTCATTGGTATCAGAGCCTTACGGTTCTCGGACCCCAAAAAAAAAAAAAAAAAAAAAAAAAAAAGAAAAAAAAACTATGGCAAACCTGAGCGAAGAACAATATGAAGCTCTCCGTGCGATGCTCAATCTATGTAGAGAAGCGAGACAAATTTTGAAGAAGAGCTGGGTTAACGAAGATCGGGCCAAAACCATGGCGACTCCACACCTGTCCGTCGAAGCTGCAGCGGATACACCATCAAGCAAACCTTCAAATTCCCCAAATCAACAAGAACCCAAATTATCATCGCCTATCACTCCCACGACGCCGCCAATCTCACCACAACCTCCCGATCCTCCAGATTTGAAAGGACCCACACAGATTTTGGCGATTAATAATGCACCTCGCGATTATTATAAGCCAAAATTTCACCTCTACGACTAGCAGAAACAAGCTCAAATACTCATGTGATCAGATATACGAAAGAATGAACAATGGGCTGTGTTTGTTTTGTGAAGGGTTTGACACCCCTGGTCACTATCATTTGAAACACAGGAGATCGCAGATCTTCATGACAGAATGTGAAGATGATCAACTTTCTGATAATAATATGTCTGCTGTTGATGTGATTGGGGACGAAGATCATGCCAAAATTACGGCAGAAGAAACGCTACCTCTCCAGCAAAACAGTGAACACCTGGCACGCAAGCAGCCTCAAGAGGTCTCTGCTGATTTCAGGTCTCAAGTTGATTTTTCGTTTCCAGATGAATATCATGAAGATTCAGCATCGTTGATCAAACCATCAGGCGATGTCAAGCTCTCCTTCTTACAGAGGCATTCTCGTTCTCATAAAAGTATTTTCCCCTTCTCGGAGATGATTCTGCCTATCTCGAGTAGAGTTTGTATTGAAGAGGAACGCTTCTATTGCCTATCTCAGGATCATCGTGTTTGGGAACCAGGTTTACAAATTAATACAAATGAAGAGATTGGGTTAGAAACCTATGGCTGTGAGTATAAAAAGCATATGTTGCTACTTGTTAAAGAGTCCAATCGTGTGTGGGAGCGTGGAGGATTACTAGTTACACATGATTGCTGGAAGAGATTAGAGAACGGCTACAAACGTGACAAAGTGCTCAAGTGTTGTTCTCTTTCTGAATTGTCTTTTGTTGAGTCTGTTGGTTTCAAGGCATATGAGAGGAAGAGGATAGAAGTGTCAATGCAGGCTGAGTCTTCTAGTGAGGAGTTTAAGCTTGTTCTGCGTCATCCTTTGATACTAGGATCACTGATCTTTTCATGGATTTTGATCGTGGAGAAGTCGTACCTGATGCGAATTGTAGTAAAGCAACTTGCTCACATGCTTTTGTTGAGAAGTGTTGTTAAACGGAGTTCCGCAAAGGACGATATTCACCTTAATAAGCTACTGACAGCAATGGAGGGTTGTACAGCAGCTATAGATATATTGGATAAGAGAATTGTTGCTGGAAAGTGTTTAAAGCATGTATCTCTCAAAAGGAGTAAGGTAGTCGTACTTATGTTCTTGGAGCATATATTCGATATAGAACATAAGACTGCATGGGGTTTCATTAAGGAAAAAAAATGGCAAGCTATATCTGAGTGGTTTATGTCTCTGCAAATTTTACAAGTTGTCATGGATTACAAAGATCGTGGTTTTGTGACTAATGCTGTTATTCTAGGAATGAAAGGAGCATCTGATTTCCAAGGAAGCTTCAAACTAGACATGCCTTTTGAGTCTTTAAGGAAGGCACAAAGTAACATGTGGAGACATCTAGTCAGGTTTGACACTTTCTCTTATAATGCTACGATTATACAAGTCATGATTCTAAATCAGTGGGCGAGTCTTGTGATGATCGTGGTCACTATTGCTGAGAGCTTAACTTTGTTGGGTGATACACACATGCTGGTGGCTGAGACGGATGGGATAGAGATTTCCATTAGTTGTTGTTATGGGTCGCATTCTGGTTTAGATTTTACTGACGTCACAGGTGGTACGTTCATGGTTGAGTTCAGTTCAGTTTGTAAGGTTTGATTTGGTATTTTCGCCCTGAATCTCTTAGCAGAACAGGTCCACGACTGTGACTTCTTTGGACTCCTTGAACAGTGGAAGGAGCATCCTCCAGACCAGATTACATGGGAGTTTTCTCAACTCTTCATTAGTGAAAGTCACATTCAGAATCAGTTCAGCGAAATGGGAAAGATGGAGCTTTCATGGAAGACTAAAAGTCTGTGTGAATGGTTAAGCTCTAATGCAAGCAAGAAGAGGCGCGGTCCTAGGCACTTAGTGCAAAGCTACTTGACATTTATCATCACAACTGGAGATGTTGCTGCCGGAATTATGCCGTCACCGTCAAGTCTTGGTTCTGCAAATAACTCATCTGTTGCATTTCATACTTTTGAAGTCTATCAATTGCAAAGACCACCAGAACTGTTTTTGGATGAGAATCTCAGAACCAATGTTGCTGATTTTGGTTTGCCCAAACTGGTATTCTACGAACTAAGAGATAAGTTGGATCGGCAAGAAGTTAGATCTCTGCCATCAAAATTACCATCCTTGAGGACAAGGATGTTGTCGACGAGGGAGTATTGTGACAGGATTAATCATCCTATTATCTATTTTTGTTTAGTATAAATACCGGTTTAGTCCATATCAAATAATTAAACCATTTTGTTGGTTATTAGTCGGTTATTGTACGATAACAGTATTTGTACGCATCTCGACCATTTGGGGAAATTAATCAGAATACTATTCATCATCTTCTCCAATCTCATACCTCTCTATCATCATCGTTCATCAATCATACATCATCGAATCTCAGATTCTTGGAAGTGGCCTTCTCTCTATTCGATCACTTCTTAGACCGATTTTCCCCTTGTTTCAGATTCTCGGTGAATCTCTAGCTCGGAATTATCTAATCTTATTATTATACTGTCTCATATGAAACAGAGTTGTTAGCGATGTAGGGTACGCTGACTAGAGATCCTCCGTGAATCTTAAGTACAGCCGAATCTAACCTGTAAAATGGTACAAGGATGAATGACCACCTTAGAGGACTGAGATCCGTGAGGGGTGACAATGGTGTACACCCGAGAGAGAGAAAGAGAAAGAGATAAACGAGAAAGATGATGATTATTGATAATGATAAGATCGATCCGTACAGAGTACATAGAGTGATATGGTCCAACATTTGACCCTTAACCGGATAACAAACTGAAATATTTCAAAATAAACATTAAACCAGCCTTAAAAGAACTGGATGATAGAACTGCAGGGAATGCCTGTCACAATACTCCCCGCTTGGCAGCATCTTTGTCCTCAAAGATGAAAATTAGGATACTTGACGATAAAGTCTTGATAGAACTCCCAAGTAGCTTGTGCTGGAGTCTCCCCTTTCCACTGAATCAACACCTTGGTAGCAGCAGTGTTGCGATGTTTAACCACTTTCTTATCGAGCACGCACTCAGGCTCTTTTGAGTTACCCAAATCCAACCAAAACTGAGGTAGCAAAGAAGTAGTGGAGGAAGGGTTCGGACAGAGCTTGAGTTGACTTACGTGAAACACATCGTGGATGGCGGCTTCAGGAGGCAGGTCGAGTTTGTACGCCACTGTCCCCACCTTTTCAGCAACACGAAAAGGACCGTAGAACCTCGGAGATAGCTTGTGAGGGGTCTTCCTGTTCTTGAGTGAGTGTTGGCGATACGGCTGAAGTTTCAGATACACGTAGTCCCCCGTGTTGAACTTCCGGAATGAGCGACGAGGGTCAGCAGTTTGCTTCATTCGATTCTGAGCGCGCAACAAGTGAAATTTCAACATATTAATCACCTCTTCCCGCTTCTGCAAGCTGTGATCAACCACAAGTGAGGAGCTTTCACCGGGTAAGTATGGGAGATGTATCGGAGGGGGCTGGCCATACACTACTTCAAAAGGAGTGCTGCGTATGGCTGAGTGATAGGTTGTGTTGTACCACCACTCAGCAAGGGGAAGCCATTTACTCCAAGTGTGTGGCGTTTCAGCAGTCATGCAGCGAAGGTAAGTTTCGAGAGTTTTATTGGTTACCTCGGTCTGGCCGTCGGTTTGAGGGTGGTAGGCTGTGGAGTGTTTCAACTCGACCCCATGAACCCGAAACATCTCCTTCCAGATCTCGCTGAGGAAGGTGGGATCCCTGTCACTAACAATATCCTTTGGCATCCCGTGAAGTTTAAAGACCTGATCCAGATATAGTTGCGCAACCTCTGCTGCGGTATAAGGGTGAGACAAAAGCCAGAAAGTGTGTGTTCTTGCTCAGTCTGTCCACAACGACGAGAATACAGTGTTTACCGGAGGAAGGAGGAAGCCCCTCGATGAAATCCATGCTAATAGACTCCCATACACCATCCGGAATGGGCAGCGGTTGCAGGAGTCCTGGCTTAGCAACATACTCGTATTTATTCTTCTGGCAGATAGTGCAGTTGCGGACATAGGCTTGTACTTCAAGATTCATCCGAGGCCAATAGAAGAGAGACTTAACTCGATGTAAAGTCTTGTCTCTGCCTGAATGACCCCCGACGGCTGAGTCATGTTGCCAGTTGAGGATACGCGTTTTGACAGAAGCATCATCCCCGATAACCAATTTACCCTTACGACGCAGCTCCTCGTTGACATAAGAGTAAGCAGGGTGTGAGGAGGGATCAAATTTGAGTTCTGTGATTATCTTCCTTAACCGCGGATCTGTCTGCCAAAGGAGTTGGATCGAATCAAAGAACCCCTCATGGGCTTGTGACAGGGTGATGTGCAGAAGCTCTGAACCTGTAACACGTGAGAGGGCGTCGGCTGCCACATTTTCTTTTCCTTGCTTGTAATGGATTTCGAAGTCATACCCCATTAACTTTGAGAGCCACATGTACTGGAAAGGGGTGGAGACCTTTTGTTCGACCATGTATTTGAGACTCTTCTGATCAGTGCGGATGATGAAGGGTCTGTGAGAAAGATACGCACTCCAGCTCTGTATCGCGTGAACAACAGCCATCAACTCCTTTTCATAGACCGAGAGAAACTGATGCCGAGGGCCAAGAGCTCTACTGATATAGCAGATTGGGTGGTTGTCCTGCATTAGTACAGTGCCAATCCCTGTGTTGGAAGCATTGGTCTCCACAACAAACGTTTTCTCGAAATCAGGAAGAGCGAGCACTGGTGCGGAAGAGAGTGCTTCCTTTAATGTACCAAAAGCAGCAGTGGCTTCGGGTCCCCAAGTGAATCCATCCTTGCTGAGAAGAGATGTTAAGGGTCGGGCAATGACGCTGTAGCCCTGTATGAAGCGCCTGTAGTAATTAGCAAGCCCGAGGAAACTTTGTAGCTGTTTCTGTGAGGTAGGCGTAGGCCACTGAGCAACGGCTGATATTTTCTTGGGGCAAGTGCTCACTCCAGCCGCCGATATGAAGTGACCGAGATACTCAATAACCGTGGCCCCAAAAGTGCACTTAGAGCTCTTCAGGTACAGCTGCTGATGACGCAGAATCGAGAAAACCTCATGAAGGTGGATTAGATGCTGCTCCTAATCCCTGCTGTAAACAAGAATGTCATCGAAAAACACCAGTACAAACTTCCGGGCGATATCCTGGAATACGTGGTTCATCAAGCTCTGGAATGTACATGGAGCATTAGAGAGACCGAATGGCATGACAAGAAACTCGAAATGCCCTGCGTGAGTCTTGAACGCGGTCTTGTAGACATCATCGGGTGACATCCGAAGCTGGTGAAAACCCGCACGCAGATCCAGCTTAGAGAAGTACTTGGCTCCGCCAAGCTCATCTAGGAGATCTTCAAGTAGGGGGATGGGGTATTTGTCCTTGATGGTCTGTTTGTTGAGTCCCCTGTAGTCGACGCAGAGACGTCAAGTACCATCCTTCTTCTTCACAAGCACGATAGGGGATGCATACGGACTAGAGCTACCTTGTATGATTCCTTGTGCAAGCATCTCCTTGATCATACCATCAATTGCATCTTTCTGCAGGGTTGAGTAGCGGTAAGGGCGGAGGTTGACGGGATTAGAGCCATTCTCCAATGGGATCTTATGATCGAAACCCTCCCGAAAGGGTGGTAATCCTGACGGTTCCTCGAATACGTCAGAAAATGAACTCAAGAGAGAGGTCATGGTAGGGTCCGTTGATAGCTCAGTAGCTGTCGCAGCAACGTGAGAGAAGAGTGAAGCTTCAGGCAAATCTGATTCATTGATCCCTCGGATCTGCAATAACGTAATCTGCGGTTGTTGGAGCAACAGTTTGTTGAAGCTGCCTCCTTTGATTACTTTACACGTTGATTTTGTCACGCCACACAACACATGTTTAATTCCCTAATACTTGAACTCCATCCGAAGGTTGAGGAAATCCCACAGGATGGGACCTAACGGGGCGAGCCATTGTACGCCGAGGATGAGCTCATAGCCTTCCAAAGGGAGCGTGCGGACCTCGGAGATGTAGGAGTACCCTTGGACCTTCCACGCGAAGTCAGAGCAGCGGTAGTGTGTTGTCAAGGGACCGCTAGCAGCCGCGACAGACATAGGGTGGATAGCCTCCAGCTTACAGCCCAACTCCTTAGCAACTTGGAGGTCAATGAAGTTGTGGGTACTACCTCCGTTGATGAGAATATGTAACTTGCATTTCCCGTACTGCCCGATCACGCGCATACAATTGAATGTGACGGAACCACTGAGAGCATTAAGAGAGATGATAGGTGTAGTCTCGTGAATGCCCTGCGTGGTGACTATTTGAGTCGACTCGCCTGCTTCTACCTCCGTGGGAAGGGCCAGGTCTTCGGTACTGTCATCATCCTCATCACACTCCATGATATAGATATGAGAACGCTTGTGTTTCAGTTGATGACCTGGGGTAAAGGCTTCGTCGCAAAACATACAGAGGCCCTGCGCTCGTCGGTCCTGCATCTCCTGATAAGTAAACTTCCGAGGGAGCTTATCCGCAGGAGAGCATGGGATAAAGCTCGGTTTAGACGGGCGTGAAGCATCTGGCAAGGGAAGCAGCAGAGTAGAACTCGGCTCTCTGGGGGTCGGGTTACCCGAGTACTTCTGAGTTGCTAGTGGATTGAAGGGAGCTCGGAGACTTCGTTGAGGCGTTTGAGCAAGAGCGGCCTCATGAAGCTTTGCGATTCTTGCCACCGCCGAGATAGAAGTAACCACAAACTGTCGAACATGTAATGAGAGATGGGGCTGCATATTCGTAAGAAATATGCTCAGGGCGTGGGCAGCTGTGAGAGTAACACGAGTCCGAACACTCTCGAATTTCTTTAGGTACACTTCGACTGAATCACTGCCCTGCTTCAAGGAGACAAGCTCTGAGAGAGGGTCGTTGACGATTCCGCTGAACCGGCCCGAGATCTCCACCACATAGTCAGACCAGGAGGGCAAAACACCGTACCGCTCGGAGATGAAGTTGTGATGCCACTCGAGGGCCTCGTCTTCGAGATGCATCGAGGCTAGGGGGACGCGGTGCTCCATAGGAGTGTTATCCAGTCCGAAAAACTGGTCACAGTGGTAGATCCACTCTCGCAGCTTAGAACCGTTGTACATAGGGAATCCAACTTTTGTCAGGCGGGAGGATAGACTCTGTGGGAGTTGATGTGGGCGAGAAGCATCGATGGGTCCGCGCTCAGCACGGATCTGATCATATCCCGGTCGATCGGGTGGATCTGGAGGGCGACTAGAGCTCGGGGAAAGCAGCACCGCAGATGGAGCGGAGCTGAACTCCTGAGCTTGCGGCTGTTGAGCGGGGGTGTGGGGAAGGTGCGTGAAGAGGAAAGACTCGAGCTTTGAGAAACGAGCATCAAGCGACTCGACGTGGCCTTTGAGCTCATCCGAGTGCTGTTCCTGGCGAATACGCAGCTCCTCGTTGATATCTGCGAGTGCCCGCTTTTCCTGCAGCCGTGTTTCCACCATTGTTGAGCTTCCTAGGGTCGGGGAAGGCTCTGATACCAATGAAACAGAGTTGTTAGCGATGTAGGGTACGCTGACTAGAGATCCTCCGTGAATCTTAAGTACAGCCGAATCTAACCTGTAAAATGGTACAAGGATGAATGACCACCTTAGAGGACTGAGATCCGTGAGGGGTGACAATGGTGTACACCCGAGAGAGAGAAAGAGAAAGAGATAAACGAGAAAGATGATGATTATTGATAATGATAAGATCGATCCGTACAGAGTACATAGAGTGATATGGTCCAACATTTGACCCTTAACCGGATAACAAACCGAAATAATTCAAAATAAACATTAAACCAGCCTTAAAAGAACCGGATGATAGAACTGCAGGGAATGCCTGTCACAATCTGATTTACAAAGCTGTTTCATTTCGCCAACACAAATCTAATCCCTGATGATCTGCACATCGATTTCATCTCGATTAGAGACCTCTTCCTTCCTTTGATACCCGGCGCCTATGAGATATCTCCTTTCTCTTATCTCTTGTAACTTGTTTTCTTGCTCCCCTTTCCATGGTGGAAAAACAACCGATTTTGATTCCAACCAGAAATTCATGAAATCTTCTGGTGAATCAACAGTTAGACACTTGCTGAAGTCAAACCCCCATGATTCTTCTGGATAAGCGTGGACATTCACTTGCCGTGAGCCATGTCTCCTTTGCTTCTTTCAATGTTGGGGTCAAATGCGATTTCTTCAATAGGTTCAGTCGCATCTCCGGTCTTTACTTCCGTCTTCGTGAAATCAGCTTCAGGTAAACCTTGATTTACACAAAATCATTTGATTATAGTAATTCATACCTTTCTGATTTCTCACTGCGAGTTTAAAAAAAAATTCTCCCGACTTTTTCCCTTTCTGCAGTTTCTCCGGCAGACTGACGAATCCATTGACTGCAAAGATAAACTCAGGTGCTGTTTTAAAGACCTAAAGTTCCCCTCTCGCTTTTAAAACTCCTTAAACTCTAAATTTTGAAATCCTGTAGAACTGGCTAACGATTTCTCTTCTCAGGTTAAAGACTCCACCTGGAAAACTCCTGCTTCTCAGCACCACCAGCACCACGAGTAACTCACTCTTCCCTTAGTAATTGAAGATTTCATTGCCACAAGTTCAGAAATTAAGTAAACTGACGTTGTACTTTGTTTTTCTGCTTTTGCGAGAGTTACTTGGACAATATAGTTACCCGTGGCCATCTCCTTAGGCGATGTTGACAAGATCGCAACAGAGTTGATAACAAGATTTTTCTATGCAAGCAAGGAGGTTATCAAAGCCCAAACCACATGTTATGATGTAGTACAGTAGTAAGGGGAATCAATCCAATCTAGGAAGCTGGAAGAACACTAAGAATGCAAGGATGAAGCAAATCTAAGCAAACTGGAAAAATGATTGGTAAAATATAACAAAACTAGATACAACGACTAAATGAGATGCAGAACAATTTTATAATCCCAAGAAGAGGGTTAACTACAACTAGGAACAAGCAGAAGATTAAAAATGCAAAGCTACTAAGAATTAAAAATCGACCACAAGATCGAGCACTGGATCTAACAAACAACTTAATGGAAATGACTTCTAATGAACATGATGCAACTTTATGACAAGCAAACGATTAACAGAGGTTTTAAAATATTAAAAAGGCGGGTTTAGGGTCGAGGGTCATATTCAAGGGTCTCAAAGGTTTAAGTTTTGGTTTGAAAATATTTAGATCTACTCACTTGTGAGGTTTTTCTAAGCCTTGAAAACAAGACAAGAACCATCTATGGCGTGTGGTATGGTTCACTTCCTCAATCTCTTCTCCATACCCATGGCGTTTCGTGGAAAAAGAGATCGAAGAGCAAGGAAAACAGATTTCAATATAATGACTTAACTAATCCCCTTTATAACCAATCGCGTGTGGGAAATGAAAGATTAGTCTTTATGATCTGGTTTTCTAGGATATCTGAATCCTCTCAAGGTAAGACAGGCCTGGAATTATAAAGACATTTTCCAAGGCTCTCTAAGCCTTAAGACCCCAAGATCCTAGAAGAGAAGGTATGAAGAACGAAGAAAACACAAAACTTAAACCCTTTCAACCCTTTCGAATCGCCTCGACCCCAAAAACCAAAAAGAACTATTCGCTACTCATTGTTAAGATCAGATGAAAAGCAATAGATAGAAAGCTAAGCATGATCAACAAACGATTAAAGGAAAAACTTGCTTATTATTAAAAGATCCAAAGGTTTAAAGCACGAAAAGTTTAAGATGTTCAACAATGGCGAAATCGCCTAAGGTAGAGAGAAAACAAAAAGATAGAATCAAGATAAGAAAAGTGATGGCTCCATTTGCCAGAAATGGCTAAACCGTTAACTGGTCCCCCCCCCCTTCGCTAGCCGCCAAAGACAGCTGGACGGATAAGGCTCGTCTGGGATCGACTCGGGTCACTCGATCTCTGGCTCGATCGTCTTCTTGGATCAGATGGCTTCGGTCGATCTTTGAGTCGATCCTGTGATGATCGGGTTGGGAACTCGATCTGCATGACATCATTCACGTCCGTATCCAGATCGATCTCCTCTCTTAATCTTGGTCTCGATCCTTCTTCTTGAATCGACTTAGGTCATTCGATTTTCTGGTCGATTTCGTCTAGATCGACCTGTCCTGCTCGATCCGCTACTCGATCTCGGGTCCTTAGCATGCACGGTTGAGTTCTCCAAGTGTCCACGAGTTTTGTTGTGATCCTCCTCACGTCCATATAACCTCCTCAATTCGAGAGTGCCCCAAACAACCTGATAATGATGCATATGCAAGAAATATGCAAAATGCGAATGCAAAGGGACCTAGGACCTAAAATGCAACAAATAGAACAAGCTATCCTATAATGCAAGATGAATGCATGAAAAACTATCCTAAATGCAAGCAAAATATGCAAAATATATGGTAATATCAACTCTCTCAAACTTGCCTTTTGCTTTCCCTCAAGCAAAAAAAATTCAAAAAAGGAGAAGAGGTTTTTAAAACGGGGGATTAAGCTTCTTGCAAAAGTGTTTTTCAAATGAATCAATTCAGTGGTCCTAGTTCTTAATCCTAAAATGCAATGCATACGCTCATACTCCAAAGAACTTAGCCATACTCATCACATAATCAATTTCAAATCAAGACTCTCATATCCCAAACAATCCAAGAATCCTATCCTTTAACACTCATTAAGCTCAAAACCACGAATCACACTTATGCACTTTAAAACCGGATACACTTGGCTAAGGGACAACGGTTGCGAGATAAAAATGATCTCACTTATTAGGGCTATTCAAACAAGGGGTTATCTCAAAGAATGGTCAAACTTTCACATAATGCTAAAGGTGAAGACGATTGATGCATACATGATTAAGCCTTCATCTACCCATGCATACTAATCAAAGATCCTAGAACCCTCTCTCATTTTTCATATCTTGTAAAGCTCACTCACCCTCATAAAGACTACCCTTATCATCAAGACGATTCGCCTAGCAAAAACCCAAGTAAAAGCATCATTTTAAAATTCTTTAGGCTAGTGGAAAGGCTGAAAACATACTTAGCTCTTTTCTTTTTACTTTGATAACTCTATACTAATTTTTTTTTTTTCTTTTTTTTTAAACACATGGCATTTTGGCTCTTTTCTTTTTTTTTTTTTTTTTTTTTTTTAAGAGCTACCTGCTTAGTTAAACTTAGAGCTATCATTTTAAAACAACAAGCCTTCCACTTAAAACTATTAAAACCCTTTTATTCAACAACCAAATATCAAACTCTTTAAACTGAAGCAAAACAAAGCAATCCCCAAGAACACCCGCCCTATCCTAAGCCTAAAACTAGCTTCAAAATTCAAAGCTAGAATCAATATGAAAGCCTAATCATGTCGCCTAAACCTAACACTTTATGCTAAGTTCAACCGAAAAGAGGCCTCACAAAGATTTAACACACAAGAACATTGGCTTGAAAGGAAAGTAAGGTAAGGGTGGGGAAATCTATTTAGGCTTACAAGAGAGTGGTGAAAGGAAGAAGAAAGCCCAAATATGTATAAGTGATCCATGTATCCTTTTTCAAATGCATGATAATTAAAAAGATTCAAATTAAGGTTCTCACTTATTAGGATGGGATTCAGTTCATGAATGTTCAACTTAAGCCACGAAAATCAAAACACATGATCCAAGTATGGTTAGAGCTTACTTTCAAAGAGTGTACAATGCATCAAAGAACTACTAACTAGGGCCTTCAAACAATTCATGAGCTTAAAACACTATTTAAGAAAAACTTTTACCCCTTATGCAAATGTAAACACCCTAAATGCTCAAAAATTCTAGACTCAATCCTAAAATGCTTAACAATTCAAATGCAACCACATGAATTTTTTTGAAATTTTTTTAGAATCTTTACCAATTTTTTGTATTTTTCTATGCCTTAGGATGCAATACAAGACTCAAGGGATGATAACAGAAAATAAGATCAAAGAAAACATGTCAAACACACCACACACTCCCCCAAACTTGAATGACACCGTCTCGGTGGCAAACAATTTCAAAGGAGTTGAAAACACAAAGCAAAAACAAAGAATACATGCGTGGTATATAAAAGGGTTTTGTTGTTCGTACCTCGGAGCTAAGTAGTGCTGGAGCTTGAGGTTGCTCCAGACTTCTTGCTCTTTGTGGGGGTCTCGTGAGCTACTGCCTTGCCCTTATCCTTGTTAGCTCCTTCGTGAACTGAGTGGCGTGCAGGTAGGATGTTGCTTCCTTGAGGCTCACGTAAAAACGATCCCACCAGTCGATCTCCTTCTCTTCTCGGGTTGCTCAACCTCTTCGCTTGAAGGTGAACCATGGGAGTTGCCTTTAAGCTTCTTGATCTTCTGAGCAAGCTTCATGATCATCTTGCTCTTCCACTTGTTCACATTCTTTTGCATCTCCACAACAGAAGCAAGGAACTTCTCCGCCTTTGTCCTTGGCTCAAAGTCAAGCTTTGGAAGGACGAAGTTCTCGGGAATCTCAGCATCCGATGTAGGCGACTCTGAACGTGGGCGAGGGGCTAGTGTAGGAGCGGCTGTTCCTCCTAGAGGTTCAAAGCACTCCTCTACACTCGGCAAGAACTCGATGTTGCCAACTCCTTGCAGCTCGGTTTCCTCCTTATTCGGTAAGATGCAAACTCTCTTCTCATTCTCACAGTCGATGAACAAGCAGGTGTAGAAACCCTCGGCTGGTGTGCGTCCCAAGCTGTCCGTGTTTCGCATGTAGATCTCGTCCATGTAGGCTCTCTCCGCGACAGGTACAAAGTCAGCAAGTGGCACTCCGGCTTGCACAAACATAGGCGTGAGGAAGCCTCCAATCAAAGCTGAGCTCGCCTTGCATCGCAAGGCATACACCTTGTACTTCACCAAGGAGGCGGCTACGATGCATCCGTAGTTCACATCATCGCCGAGCTCGTTTTCCATCGGCTCGTCATTCTCCTTAGGATCACAAAGCAGATGCTTAACGCCTTGGAAAAAGAAGCAAAGCTCGTTCTTGGTGACTGTGGGAGCCACAGACCGTCCACTGAAGGTGTTGGCGATCAACTTGAGCGTGTATCTTAGCACCGGACTCCTCACTCTCTTGATCTTCGCAGTGTTGGCCTTGT